ATATATATATATTTTTATGAAAGAAAAAAATATTGTCCTGCAACTGCCTTGCGTCTTGCAGCAAAGCCATTCTCCAGCATAAGAAGGCTTTGCGAAGGAAAAGATCCTCCAGCACCTACAGTACACAAACAAGATAAGGGGTCCCCAGCCCAATGTAGAGGAAGCAGGAGGCAGCAGCAGCCCCGTGAGTCTTGGGAAGAGGACTCCCTCTTCCTTTTCCCCAGCACAAAGGTCTTCCAGCTGCTCCCAGCATATGTCTGTGTTCAAACAGGAACTTCCATTGAGGCTTCTCCAGTACTTTGGACACTACCCCAGAGCAAAGCTGAGCTGCCACCAGCTTAGCACAGCCCACAGGAAGCCTGGTCCTCACTACTGTCAGGCTCAGCAGAGGCTCAAGGAGATGCTGAGTGGGGCTAAGACCTCACTTCAACCTGTTCTGTATATACTCTTCTCCTGATCAGGTTTTGGCCAAAATCCCACACTAAGTACCAACCACCTTCCAGCAGTGTCCCAACAGAATGAAGGCCTGACTGATCCACAGCCATACTCAGCAGAAAGCCAAACCTGAGTACACCAGCAAAAGAAGGAGGCACTAATGAGTTCCAATCAGGAAAACCTTCTGTAAATGCAGGAGGGTGGCAGGAGGGCCGATGTGCCAGGTGGGAGGGCTGGTGCCATCAGGGAAGAGCTGCTGATTAATTGGTTAACAAAGCTCAGCTGTTAATTCTGCTCAGGTGCCTCAGCCCCTGGGCACCACCTGCTGCCACGAGCTCCCAGTGATGGGGAAACTGAGGCACAGACAATAGACACATTGGATTCTGCTGTTCTCTGACTCTAGGAGGACCTCGCAGCTCCCGCTAGCTGAGGGCTGAGCTACACCCAGCCAAGTGCTGTCCTCCTGCATCCCATCCCATAGGCACCTGCACTGCAGCAGGGGATGTTCTGGGGAGCTCAGAGCCCATTCAGCCCTTACAGTGCAGCAGCCAGAGGAGCGCAGAGCCACCGCAGGTTGAGCTGGACCAGAGTAGGGGTGAGCTCCTGTATTGCTGCAGGGTCAGGTGTTGCTGTACTGGTCCCTGGGCTGAGGCTTGGCCTCTATGGCAAGGAAGAAATCCGAGCATTATTACTCTGAGGGTTTAAACTGTGCTTAAAGGTCCGTGCGTGGTCGGTTTCTAAAAGCAGACCCAATGGCTTGGGAACCTGCTCT